GGAAGCTGCAAATGTTATCTTGTTGTCTTTGAAATATTCAGGAAATAAAAAAAAATCTTCACTCTGCATCAAGTCTCCTTATCTACTGGTGGGAAAAGGAGGCATATCTGTTTTTGTACAAGGGAAACTCTCTCCTCAAATCCATTTCATTCAGTTTTCCTGCCAGGTTTTGAGATGGAAACACCCTTTGTTCTCCTAGATGAAGGGCATGTATCTGGGGAATGGATGAGGGAATGAAACCATATTTGTTTCCTTTTGGCATACCTCTCTAGGCTGTGGATTACAGTGACTATGGGGGATTAATCTAGAAAGCAGTACTAGAAGTTATTGTTTCAGCTCTTCACCATTGGGGTGTCCAATAGTTCTATTCTGCCTACCCCCCCCACCCTACATGAAACTGCTAGATAAATTTACACAGAAGTTCAGACAAAAGTGTTCTCAGTAAGAAGATGACATGCAGATCTACCTCCCTTTCCATCTGATAGTCTTAGGGAGGCTGTGGAAATGCCTAAACAGGGCTCTGGAGATGGCTTTCCTAGGGATGGGGGCAAACAAGTTGAAGGTTAACCAAGGTAAGACTTAAGTACTGTGCTCTGGGAAGGATGCTCTGAATGGGGCTTTCCAAAGAATTGTGAATGAGATTACAGTCCTCTAAGAGACAAAGTTTGCCTCTTACAGTCCTCTAGGAGACAATGGGTTCTCCTGGACTCAACACCATCTATAGAGGTGCTGGTAGCACCAGTAGTTAAGAGCTTAGAAAGGTTCATCAGCTAAAACCCTGTATAAAAAAAGTAACCCTTTCTTTAGTGCTATCTGCTCTGGTCATATCTGGACTAGATTACTGAAGTATGATCTAGATGAGACTGCATTTAAAGATGATTTGGAAGTTTCAACTGGTTCAACAGGACTAGGCAACTTGCGGCCCTCCAAAGATGTCAGTCTGCAACACTCATCAGCATGAACTAGTCTAACCATTGGTGACAGATAGCACCTGTAGGCCAAAACAGTTGGGGGTGGGGGGCAAGATGCCTATCCCCACTTGTGCAACTCAGGCATTAAGAGGAGTTGCAATGGATTCCTGTTTGTTTCTGGAATTAACTTAAAATTCTGATCTGGACCTTTTAAAAGCCAACATGGTGTGGGACCAAGCTATTTTAAGGATTGCCTGCACCCTCACAACCCTGCCGAGGTTTAATGACTGGCCTCACAGACGATGCCTGCAAGTCTGCTATCAAGATCCATCAAATCATCAAGCATTGGCCCCACATAAGTGAAACTCTTCTGAAAGAGATACATATTGCCTACATCTAAATAGGTTTACAAAAGGAACTTAAGCTTGTTTGTTTCAAGCCCTGTCCAATTAAAAGTGTAAACTTGCTTTTAATTTGCTGCTGATTCCATATCTATGTTTTCTTCTGTTTTAATAACTTTATGGTTTTAATTCTCCTTCATAAGACATGTTGGGAAAGCTTTGTGCATGCACTTTAAACAGAAACAATGAAATAAAACAGAAGTCTATTCAGCAAACGGAAATCACAGGAAGACACCCCTGTCCTTATTCTTCACAGTTTACAAAGCATGTGGGAGAAGTGCCTTTCTACTGGCACCAGAGTTGTGGAGACCTAAGGCTTGCAAGCTAAGGCCACAAGGAGCCAGTATACACTTAACTCCCATTCACAGACTGAGGGGGCTCATCTGATTTGTCCCATTCTAGTAAGTTTACTTCACTTCTTATATCCAACCCCCGGCCAGAACTTTGATGTTGTCTAAAACAGTTTAGCCAGCATTGCATACCCAAGTTCCTCTATAGTCACTGCACTTTGCCATGTACTTCGCCCTACCCTTCCCTTAGTTCTGCATCTTCATTGATTCCCAAGTTTGGTAATCAGCTTAACATTTGTTCTGGAAAGAGTTGGGGAAAACAAATCATATAGGGACTTGTAGAAAAAGGTATCACTGGGAAAATGTGAGAATGAAAGCTATGGAATATGAGTAATCAAATCAAAAGCACAGAAAAAAATTGATGTTATGGATTTAACTTGGTAGTAAAGTAAACATCAATTTCTGACTGTTAGTGAAAGACACACTTTCTTGCTTGGAAAGGATCAGAGATAACAGAGCAAAGAAATGAACATAAAAGAGAGAGTACTGAAATACAGAGGTTGAACATATTCACACTAAAAATCAGTGAAATCGTTTTCATTTTTCAAAGTAAAGATAAAGTGAAGAGTAAGAAACAACACATACCATTTCAGCAAAGAAAACATAACAGCCATTTTAAGGAAGAGGAAAAAATACATGAAACAAACAAATGCTTAATGTGTAGAATGGATTCCTTCACTCATTCAGATAGTTTCAAAGGAAAATGATTAGGTAGAATTTTACTGCAAGACAAGCAGCACAATAAAGGAGGGGAGAAACCAAAGTTAAAGCTATCTCATGCCAGATTGAGCTCAAAAGCTAGAAAATTAGAAGCTACAATTTAACAGATGTGCCCCTCGATCAGTAATGCACTGTCAAATTGTGCCTATGTACAACATTTCCTCTATCCTTGGGTCTTTTAAGCCCAAAACCAAATGGGGAAGATACAGTGCCTGGGATAAGTAAGGATGCCCCATGTTTCATTGGTCTTGTATTGCTTTATGAAGCACCTGAGCCATATTGCTAGAGAAATCCCCCTGGGACTTGACCCATGCCTGCTGGTTGCTTACATTGGTAGCTAGCAGGATAGGATAAGCAGTCAGAGACAGCTGACACTGATAAAGCAGGGACGACAGTGGTACTGCTGCTAACAACTTGGGGTATAGTGCTTGTGGCTGTGCTTCTTACGGATTGATGATGGTACCAGTATAATGAAAAATGTTAGTTTTAGAAATAAACTACCCATTTTTAAGAGGCACCAAGAAACATGGCATCTCAGCAGTGTGAGAAAATGTGAGAAGTTCTGACTTTAGGAAGTAATGGATTACTTGACTATTTTTATTTCAGTGCATTTGTAGGCCAGTGCCTTTTGTACTCTAAAAGAAGTTCTGGAGGACTTACATAGAACAACAAAGTCGTTAGCTCAGCTCATGAATATTAGCCCATACATTTTTTGCAATTTGAAGCAAGGAAGTGGAATATTGAAAGCAGTGCCAGCTCCAGGTTTCTGAGGACTTATGAAATATACCTGTATTGCACTACTGTGTTTCTGTAATGAGTACGTTGTGTGGCCTCTGTGAGTAATAATGTATTTGACCGACATTCTAAAGGAGAGATAGCCACAATTGCTTGAAAGCTCTCAGAAAGAGCATGAAGCAAGTAAATTCAATTCTGATTGGCTGGGGATTCTAGCAGGTGGTTAGTAAATGACAGTCAAGGTATGACAGTTGGCAGTTAGGAGTTTAGTCAGAGGGAGTCTGTGGCAGTCAGAGAGAGAGGTCTACTGCTTGGTGTGTGGTATAAAAAGGCTTGAAGAAAGCTAAGGAGAAAGGTAATAGCTGTTCCTTTTCTGTGGGATACCCTTTTTGTGGCTGGTGAAAAGAAGAAGATGGTTGTGTGATACCAAGGGTCTGTTCTAAGATCTTGCCCAAGGAAGGTTATATAAGCAGGAAATAATGACCCAGATAAACCATCCAAGCATACTGTAACAGGAGGAGCTTGGTTATCAGAGAAAAACTGTACCCCAAAGCAAACACCCCTAAAGGTATTTGGCTAAGATGGAGATTTAGGCAATTTGGCCTGTTCTAAAGTCCTTAGAAATATATAATGGCAACTCTATCTCTTGAATCCTAAGAGTTGTCACGAAGCAGTCCACTGAAACCTTCACAGTAAATGCTAATAATTGCTGATGAACAAAGCATCATTTTAATAAATTACTTGTTTAATTGTTCAACTTCGCTCAAATGTCGGTGTTCATCTCACATCTACGCCACTTAAATCAGCTATTAGAAGGTTTTAAAGTATTTTAAAAGAATTGGTGGCTGTGGAAATGGATCAGCCAGTGGAACTCTGACAAAGCAGTAGAGTTCCTTAAACCAGAAATATGAGCAATTGCTCTAAATGAGAAACTGCAGAGGTAAGACTGCCCAGTGAAGGAACAGTTTCCCCACAGGAGGTGGTACTAGTGGGGAGAGTAAGGGTCTCTGGCAACATACTATCAGGGACTGTAACCCCAAAGGCCAGTTTCCTTTGTCTGAATGCAGAACATGTAAATACCAGCAAGAAAAAGATGTTTATTGAAGCATGCATACAACAATCAATTCTGCGGAACCAAGAAAGATCAGCACCCCCCACTAGCAATCCAAATATTTTTATACCTTTAACAGCAAACTTGCCTATCATTGGTAATTTTGGCCTATCCCATCTGCCCTTTGATCCCACCTTCTACACACTATTAGCTAGAGAAAGTAGGCCACATTCCACATTTATCTTAACACTTATCTTCGCAGTTATCTGTTCAGCAGAAAGTTAGATGTCAGCAATTGCCTTCACAGTGCATGTCTAGCAGTTCTCAAGCTAGTAAAGCATTATTGCAGCTAAGAATTCTGTTTCACCTGAACAATTTCTGTTACAGTAGTGTTCCATTCACATACATGCAAATTGTGAATTTCTGTCTATCACTGATAAACAAAGTTTATGACTTGAAGGGTACTCTTCAGGTGGAAGCCTCAGCAAGGTTACAAAGAATTCAAGCACAGGGAATCAGAAACTTTATATCAATACCATTAGGAGTTCCCACATGCACTCAGTAAATCTACCTTACTGCCATTGTCACCAACTGCTATCATTCCTACCACTTTCTGTGTTTGTCAGGCACAGAACCAATGAGCACTTACTTTCTGAACCAAAGAAAATGGCATTTTCCTCCTTTTTAAACAAACATACAAATCAAACCACTAAAGGTGTGCATATACTTATTTCACAAGGAACAGATTCTATCGATCTGGAGTCACTAGAAAGGACTATCCTGCAACAATCACCAGCCATCAAGTTTGTGTTTTATTGTTAGAAGTACTTACCAAGGTTTGTGTTTGGGACAGTAAGAAGCTGCCTGAATTTATCTAATCTTGATGCTTCCCTCTCAGATAGTACAGGAGCGCCTGAGGTATTGTGGTCGGTCACACCACTCACCAGAGCAACTGTTGAGGCTTGTGGAAGGGACTGAGATCTTGGCACAGAAGCACTTTCATTAGCATTATCTAAACAATATAAATTTAAAAAAACAAGCAAATATTAAGTTGCCCAAATTTACTTTAAGCATGCAGAAGAATAAGCATATAGGCTTTTAAAAGAAGTATTCATGGCAGTCATCAAATCAATAATGAACTGCTTTATGCATATCCTACTTCTAAAATGGAATTAAAAGCAGACTTCACCTGCCATTATATTAACCAACCCCCACCCCATGTTTGTCAAGAGGCAGATGTTAAAAACCTGCATGAGTTATTATCTAATTTCTTTGCAGATAATATTAATAGCAATGTTTTAAATTGTCTTTACATTATTTTCTTCTTCATCATGAAAATATTTAATAGAAAAAAGTTTTCTAGGATTGTTTTCCTCCTAAGAAATATTTCTGAAAGACTTCTATCTCCAGCAGTTAGGCCTTGCCAGTTTGAACTATTGAACTAATTTCTTTAGCATCACTCTAAGGTATGAAAAAGACAATGGGTGTATAAAGTAACATCATTCTGTTAGTGCAAAGCTTCTTCTACCACATGCTGAATACCCATTTTCATCTTTGTCAAGTCTCAAATAAAATACTTAGAATGTGTTTATGCGAGAGATTTCATAACTTATAACAACTTCATAATGCTTGCACTGGTTTATGATCAAAATAAATTGACTGATTGACATAAAACCAGGTGTTCCTTGCCTTAGTTGTAGTAGTTATTCTGCTCACACAACTCCTTATACTTTTTGCCAGTAGTGTTACACTGGGTGCAATCCTAAACATTTATACAACTACACAGATAAATGCCACATGACTAGACTCCATAGGTAATGTCAATGAAATGTAAAATGGGGCTTACTGCAAGCTAAGCGTACCAGTATGCCAAACATTATCACTCTTATCCATGCTTTAGTAACCTCTAGGCAAGGACTACCACAATGCACTGTACACAGGGATGCTTTGAGGATAGTTGGTCCAAGTTACTAATTGTGAGATTATTAAAAGGAAGGGAAATTGTAAACATATCTCATCAGTGTTTAAGATTTCTCTTTTCTCTTTTCCAAATTGTCACCTACAGAGCAGATGCCCCTGCTATCAAAGTTAAGAAGGTGGCAACTGGAAAGATGGCATTCTTAGTCATGGCACTCCATTCAAGTGATTAGATGAAGCCTACACTAATGGTTCTTTGGCACCAGGCAAAACCTTAAATTAGCATAATTTTTCATCCTTTTATTTCATAAACATGAGTTTGAGATTTTGATGTTTTAATTACTTTCTCTTTTCCTTACTGAAATTATGGAGGGCGCTCAGGAAATTCAGTGCATTAAATAAAATTAGTCCCATAAATCTGGATCTATTGCCTATATTATTATTATTACTATTATAACATTTCTATGTGGAATGCCACGTTAACCTAGCTTTTTCCATAACCTCTTACCTTTGCTCTTGGTCAACTTTTTTTACTTTAAACCTAGACTGTTATTGAACACCATAAATGACAAGTAAATACTACTACCTTGATCAGTCCCCCAGAAGTGAATGGGATACCTTCTGAATGCAGTCCAAAACTGTTAGCCTGTTTTCCAATACTTTAATATTTACTTTGAATTCTAAATCCTTCAGTTAGTGCTTGCTTTAAGGGGAAAAATTAAGACTTCTAAGCATTCAAAGAATCATTGAGCAAACTACACCCCAAAGTATTCAATAAAATAGGGAAGTTTTACATGACAATGAAGTTCATCAAGTTCTAGATACCTGCAGAACTTGATGTGTTACTTTCACTGACAGATTTAACCAGCCTGTTGTCTCCACATGCAACTGAAGCCAGGTCTGAAAGCTGCTGTGGTTCTTTTTCCACATGTTCCTCCTGCAATTTGTGCTGTTCTTGTAGTTTACTGTGATTCTGAATTACTCTATTAGCTGTTTCCATGACTACTTCAGTGTTAAGGCTTTCTGTAGCCATTGCTAAGAGTTCATCATCATCATCCCCAACATCCCAGGCATCACTTGTGTTGCTTTCAAATTCTTGAAACGTGCTGACTTTCTTCAGTTTCACTGGAGTTGTTGGTGGCTTGGCCGCTGGTTTCAAGCTGTTTACAAAGGAAAATAAACATATGTATCACCTTTTGTATTAATACCTGTGCTTATTACATTATTTAAAGTACTAGATAATTCTAGCTAAACAAAAAAGGTACATTTTGATCAAACAAGAATGCTGCTATTTCTAAAATTGAAAATCCATGCTGTTTCTGCCATTTTCTACAATATATTTGGCATGTCTAGCTCCTCTTTTCATTGAAAGAATAACAACTCTGTTTTTAAAAGTGAGGAAAACAGAAATAGATCTTGAACTGATGCTCGAAAGGAACAATGCTGTGAAAGATATCCAACAAGATATCCAACAATTCTGGACAAAACAAGACTTTTTGTCCAGAAGTCTTCCTGAAGAGTGATCATTCTTCGTATGTTTCATTCTGATCCTTCCCATTCGGCATCAATCATCTAGCATCTAGTCTTGGAAAAGTATATTATTTTTATCTTAAAAATAAGTTTTTCAAAAAGTTCTACAACTAGGTGACTAAAGCATGAGCTCTGATACAAATTTTACCTAGTGAATATTTTGTAAAATTCTATCCTACTAGGATTTTTTCTTGTGCTATTTACAAACAGCAAACAATAACAGACTGTAAAACTTTAGCCTGCCAACATGTCTCAGCAGGGAGACAGCTGGACTTCAATTCTAAAAGACATGTAGATCAGAATATCTGCTTGATGCACAGACTAAAATAAAAACAGCTCTATTAGAAAGTTTAATCTGTTTTCCCAGGAATACTTTACAAATAGTACAACAATCCAACTTCTGTCATTAGGCTCCACACACACAATTCTAAACATACATGAACTCCAGTAAAAACTTTCCTCTAGCTATACTCTTCCATGTCAGTGTAAGTCATTGAGTTGAGCACATTTATTTCAGTGGGACTTACACAAGAGAGCATCCCAAGAGTACTTATATTTTCTGTGTTGAAAGGTTTGAAAGAGGGAAAGTTCTGCTAGTGTAACAAAAATGGAAACAAAATAGGTTTTATGAGGTAAGCCAAGAAGGGAGGAGTAAGGTATAAAGGTCAAACAGTGTTTGTTATTCCTTTATCTCTGTCTCTTGCATTCACAGACCCATTTTTCATACAGTCTGTTAATGTATTGCTTCAACTTATAAATAGAAAACTCATATTTGTATTATCTGTTTCCTTCAACAGGTGAAGAAAATCATGAGCTGCATGTTTTAAGGACCATAGAAACAGATTTTTCACCTGTAAAAATTTGTGAAAGAGATACAGCAATAGCAGGATTGAAGGCTTATCAGGGAAGCTCCACTATTGCTTTATTCAGAGCAGGTTCAGGCATCAAATGAACGTACCCTTAAAATATTCCACTGCAGATTGATTATTCAGGAAACAACCCACAGTGCACCCAACAGATGATTGGGCTAATCCGCTCTTTCTCCCCTGGGCCTCCAGCAAGTATCTGGGGCACTTAGCAGCTAAAGTCACTGCCTCCAATCCCCACCATGACCGTGAGCCCATTTTCAGTCATCACAGCTCTCCCACCCATTTTTTGGAGATCACTTTCACAATCTCCAAAGCCAGGGACAGCCCCTTCAAAAGACTCAAGCAGCACATGGGTGGGATTGTCACTGGTTTGCTATCTTTGTACCTAAGTGTTTGTGCGAGTATTATCTGTTCAATATACATTTCTACCGTACTCCAATTTCCAGTGTCCATTAGGGTCTGTTATTCCTGCTTGTCAGAATTAGTCCTTGGCCCTTCTGCAAAATTGTAGAAACCTTGAACACCACTCATATTCATGACTAATTCCCAGAAACTTTGGTGGAGCACAAAATACTCAGGCCCTTTTTTTTTAAGTTTACATCAATATTTTGTGTGCATCCAAAAGTTGTTGCTCACCCATGCCTCTTACTCTTATGAAAAACAGAGCATGCCTCTTCCCTCAATAATCCCTATGAATTATTCATTTTTTCCTAGTCAAAATTGTACAAGCATTCTCTTCTGGAAGATCTGAAATAAAATAGACAAGACTAGAATAGTAAGGGAAAAGGGCTATAATCCCATGCTCTGCTTCCATATGTGGCCCCCACCTGGCTGCTGTGCCTGCACTTTTCTAGCTTGGAAAAGCCGACTCACCATGCCAACTCAATGTATAGCTATCAGTGAGAGGCACCCATGGACAAAAACCCAGAAAGGTGGCAAAGAGTGTGTTCTTTTATTTTGTTTTCTGCTGGCAGCTGTTTAAAGATGAGCTATCAAGGGGAGGCAAAGTTGTGATCATTGCTCACAAAAGGGGATGCTAAGTAAATCATCCCCTTCATGATGAGATCATCTATTTTTATTTTGTCTAGGCCTGACTCTACTCAGTGTCCTGCACCTTTTCTGCCCATCCCCAACAGCTGTCAAAGCTCAGATTTCCTTTTAAAATGCTTTTTTTACAGGGATATGCAGTAATTTTTGACAGGTACATATGCCTGCACTTATGTCACTGTGAAATAAATAACCCCACCAATAAATGGAGTTTTGCTAGCACGGGGAACAAGGAGCCTATACAAACTTCTAGTAGTAGACTGTTGTTTGTTCTGAGTAACTAGAAAGAACTCTGAAACCTGGGCTGCATTTTGCTGAAGCACTCAGAAGAAAGAAGTCATTTCAAGAACTGTCAAGAAGAACTGCAGCTGCTGGAGACAGTAGTTGTATTATAGAATGCTTTGCTAGAGTGGAGCCCAGCCTTCACTAAACCACATTTTGTTTTTGGAGCATTTGTATTACCATGTGCCTCTGTTGCTTACCTACGTATAGATTGGTATTTACCTGACTTACTAAATGCTTTTGACTAGTCAACAACTGGTTTGAACAATATATAATTAGTATAAGGTCATGAAGATTAAAAGGAAACAGTAATTCTAAAGTAATTTCTTTATCTTGTTTTCTAATTTCTCTTAAGGAATAATTTGTACCTTAAATTCATATTTAACTGAACTGCATGAAAACTTAGTTTCTAGGCCACAATTTTATTTCCAACTGCACAAAATGTGTTCAGAGCCACATGAGAATAAACTCTGGCATAATGTACAAAATGGCCCCATTATTTTAGATTTTAAAGGTCTACAAGATCTGTGTAGCCTTGTCAAGCCGAAGAAAAAGACAGCAATCTAATTCCTTGGGCAGCAGCATCCAATGGTGCTGTCCATATCCCTCTAAAAGCACCCTATAAAGGATGGAAAAAGCATAAAGAGGCCATGGAGAGGCCATTTCCACTGTTCTGCCACTCTGAATCTGGTCATCTCCGTGTTTTGGGACCTGCTTGTCAGAAGGACAAGCTGAAGCCTCATCAAGATACATCCTACCCTGGTACAGCCTCATTCTGTCCCTTCCCATCCCCTAGAATGCTACTTAACACTGGCTCCAAGATCATTGTTCTCCAACTTTTCCTTTGGCCATCTAGAAAGCATCTAGCAGCCACAGGATTGTACGTAAACAAAGGCTCAGTTGGGTTTGAGCAAGTGGGTTCAAAGGACTACATTCCTCCCTAAATACTGTAGTCATAATTTTTACAAGAATAAAGTGAGTGAGGTGGAAGAGCTTGCAAAAAAGGTAGAAACTAGACATGCTATTCTTTTAAAGACAATAGCAGCATGATCAAGGCACTTGAGCTTTTGTCATTTAGCCTTACTTAAACTGAGTAAAGGCCATGATATGAAGTGTTGCATAGAAGGTCAACACACTACTTGCATAGCCCCACAATATAACTATGAAATAAGAGAGACTACAGAGAAGTGTTGACAGGCCAGAAAAGGAGGGATGGGGAAAGAAGATCATACATCATTGCCAGTTACAGATCTCAGTTTGAGGCTCTTCACTGAAGTTTCTTAAGAACAGAGTATTTTTTTTAAAGATTGAAACTACCAACTAGCTCTTTCTTCTGCTGACTGAAAAGAAAGACAAGTTCATACAGCTCATCTGGCTTATCATCTAGATCAAATCCTAACAGGTGACCAGGCATGTGGCCCTTGACAAACTTGATAAAAGATTTGCACATCAGCTCTTCCTCTTCAAAAATCCTAGAAAGACAGCCAGAATGATCCTCCCTTCCTTCCAAGTTCAAATTTAAAGCTATCACTAGTACTATAAAAATGATTAACATTTCTATAACCATAGCTTCAAGCAAAATAGTAGACCATGTTCAGGAACCCATCCTCTGCTAGTCACTCAACCAAATTATCAGCCAGCGATGTTGGTTTCTCAAAACTGAACACCCAGAAACACATATGTACTACACCGAGAAGAGAAATACAGTAGTGTCAAAACTATACAATTATGGAACACACGGCATCTAACCAAAAAGTGATACTTCCTCATTATATATACACCAGAATATCAAATACAAACTATGTATGGCAGACAATATATCTTATTACAATATTATGAAACTTCTATACATTGAATTAAGAACTATAACAATGCTGGAATGTGAAAAAGTTGTTCATAGATGTTATGGTGCTACCCAGACTGGCAACACTTTAACATAGCAGCTCTCTCTTATCCAAATATTTAACCATTCAAATAAGAATCCCCAGCAGAATAAAAATAGTTATTGATTAGTATCTCAAGTATCAAGTTTGGGAATAATTGCCCATGTCCTCTACTCCTTTTACTACAGTAACATTCCTTATAAGCTAATCTTCCTTCCCCCTCTTAATATCCTTTGCATCCACTATATTCTTTCAAAACTAACCCTAGATACTAACTGTTCATGATCAAATTATGGGTACCTCTACTCAGCTTTATTTTTAATCAGGATTTGCAAACTGGTTTCACAACTATACCAACTAGGTTAGCACTGGCTATAGTTGGTGTAGATCCATATGACAGTAAATAACTATAAAACTGGGAAAATTCACATCAGAGAAGGAAAAGAAATAGTTAACAACAGTTAAGAGATCAATAACATCAACACTGATAAACTACTCCAATTCCAGACATAATTATTGTCAGAGACAGTGTGAACATAATGAACTGTACTAGTATATGTTTAAGCACTTTAAGACTTTACATTTTCCTATAGCAAAAAGATGAAACTGGCTCTCTCCTCCACCTGACAGGATAGCACGTCCTGATATTTCTCAGCTGACATCTGCTCAAACCAGTTTTTCTGCATGGCAAGAAAGCTGGTATGATACTGATTATCACTAGAGAAATCAAAAGAACAAGGAGGACTCATTTAAAACAACTGGCAAACAATTCAAGGGCAAGTAACATTATAAATGAAATTAATTTTGCTTTAAGAATTCCTACAGAAAAAGAGCTGCAAATGGTCATTTGCCACGATGGAGACCATGCATGATTCCATTCTTTATTGCACAGAGCTAAAAAAAAAAAAAAAGCTATTGGAATTAAGATGCCTAGAATGTATAAGTAGGATGTCCAGGCTTTTTGCAGCACCAAAGGAAGTCGATTTACCTTTCTTAAAACTGTTGTTTTATGAACCAGACTGCCTACCTACCTCCTAGCACTCTCTTTATGCATGAATGCAGCCACATAACTATCACACCCAAATATAATCCAGCATCAACAATGAAATGTAAAAAATTATCATATTTTCAATCATCTATATCAAAAGGCCAACTTGTAGCCCTCCAGATGTTTTGGCCTACATGTTGACCACTCCTCAACCACACATTGTAAGACTAATTATGTATATAGAGTGCTCTTGAGCTGAGTCAGACAAAGTTGTGATCCTAACTCTTAAGCTAAGGGCTTTTTACAATACAATATTTACAAGAATAGAACTACAAACCGATAAGCTTATCCCAGTATAATAAAAAGCTTTTAAACCCAAAGTAGTGTTGTACTTTTTTCCCCATACATTTTAGAAAGTTAGTGATGGGAGACAGCAGGAAGAAAAGAGCAATTTGGTCAGGAGCAGAAAGAGAAGGGGACGTTATTTCAACAAAAGATCAGATGGTGAAAAGATTTGACAAGAATGAGTTCATTTTATTTTTTGAAAACTTACGTTCCATGCAACAGTGGATCAAAAGGAGGATGCTGAGCTCCATAAACATGTTGAATACTAAAAAAGAAAAGAGAGAGAACACTGAATTTTAGTATGAATATAGAACAACCTTGGAGTTAACTCAGTGATTTGAATGAATCTCACTCTTTAATAAGTGAGTTAGGAAGCCTGAGCTATTACACAGTCAGCATGATGGGCAAACAGCCTATTCACAAATTCAAAATCGCAGACATGGTTGGGAGTAATCATAGCAGATTTACAGTAATTCCCACCTTTTCATGAGTTCCAAGCTTGGAAAGAAAGCTTGGGGTATATGGGCTTCTTTCATGTACGATCAAGAGCTGAACAAAGGAAGGTTCCTGCAGCTAAGGTTTAGGCAGAGGGTTTCTGAGCATCAGTGGAAACAAACAACAAACCTCTCCTTGTCCCTCTGTTCCAAAGAGGAGAAATAGTCAGGGTGACACTCCAGCAACCACAGCACAACAGGAGGGCTGGAGTCCTACTGCTGAGCATCAGTCAAAGCCCACAGTCCCCACCAAAAAAGAGGAACAATAGGGAGTCTCCTGCAAGTTGAAGTCCAAAACAAATCTTAATCATATTTTAGAACTGCCACCCTTTTTTATCCATGGATGCTTCTAGACAAAATTTTTATTATACAATCTCACCACCTCACACAGAATTTTATGTGGGGCAGGGACAATGAAATCTTCAAATTATAGTCCTCCTATGCTTCCCCAGTGTTTTTTCCATTTTTAAACCAGGAAAAATATGCTAAGGAAAAAAAAAGAATAACTGCACAATGTCTTTTCATTATTAGAAATTAGAGCCCTTCATCCAGAAACCACACACACAATCCTTATTTATTATAACAGCTGCATGACAGGAAAAACTTATCCAATGCAGTTTTCTCTCCCTGAGCATAAAGATGCCCTAACATGAATGGTGATCACCAAAAACAATTGTACCAGAAAAGAGTCCTAAGTATACAAATGTTTTAAATAAATAAATAAACCAAGAAATTAAACAGACATTCCACAATCCAAACAGGAAATTAAATATTTTATTCTTTAGAGGGGCTGCTAACTCCCCCACACTATTCTTTCACTATTCTGTACAGTCCACTACTATGTATGAGAACATAAGAGTAGAATACAATGGCCCATCTAGTTCAAATATTTCTTTATGGATGCTTCCAGGAATCAATCCCACAAGCAAGGCATTAAGACAATGACTTCACCTGCTTGCCCACAACATCTGACACCTAGAAATATATTGTCTCTAAATGAGGGCTTTCTTGTTAGTTATCACTTCATGTTGGGCAGAACGTAAGATATCCAGATGTTTTGGAGTTCACATTCCAGAAGTCCCTGCCAACATAGCCAGTGATCAGGAATGTTATAAGTTGCTGCCCAAAACATCTGAAGCAAACATACTTTCTGCTTTAGTTTATATATTACCACATGATTAAAAAGTTAAGGGTCTGATTAGGAAAATAGTTCAAGCCTTTTTTCTACCGTGACAACCTTAAGCAACTTGGTGCAACACTTGCAACATAAGGTCAATAATACTGACCTACTTTTAGGGTTGCCATAAAGATTACAAGATAACACGTGAACAAAATGTTTGGAACTTGCACTAGAAAAGTACTAGATATTACTACTAACAGCAGCCACAAACCTCGACAGAGCACTGCTCCTGGAACTGGACGAATCTGTTCAAAAAGCATCACCACATTCTGTGGCAATAAACGCCACAACTTATGCGTGTTGATTCGGAAGTTAGTCCCTAGTTCAGAGGGCCTCCGCTCAGAGTGAGTGCGCACAGGCTTCAGCCTTTACAAAAGCAATGTCGGCCACCTTCCCAAGACGCCGTACAGCTACAGCCCCCCTCGCAAAACTCTCCCCCAGCTTACCTGCCCGGGACCCGGGAGACGTTCCGCTTCCAAAACTGCTTCCTACCTCCGTCGCTCGCCATCTTCCCATCACCTCATAGCTCCTCCCTCTCCAAAGCAGGGGCCGCAGGAGCCTCAGACACGACGGGCACAGGATGTGGCCGACGCCGCAAGCAGGACAGGCCCCGCTCGTCCCCCTCCAAGGCCAGGCTCTTCGGAACTTATTCCATCCCGACTCTCTCCCCTCCTGTCAAAGAGCAGCGCGCTGCCATCTTGGCACCGCGCAACAATCCCTCTTCTCACTGGCTAACGGTGGCCTGTCGTCGTGTCCGCCCAATCACAAGTGAGCGTCCTCCCGGGTGCCTCCAAAGTCACCCAATCCATATTAGCGAATCCTATTGAGGGCCGCTGGAATTTCAGCCAATAAGAGTTCCAACCGGCGACTCTGTGCTGGGAAAGGTCTGCCTTTGGTGCGCTCTGTGTGCGGGAGTTGTTTCCTGGCCTCCTATTGGCTGCCGCAAAAGTTCCTCAGGGTATGGAGCGAAGTCGCACTTAGTTACTTTTATGATGCTGCTGGTCGCGGCCGTGTTAATTATGGGGCGCCCTCGAAATCACGCTCAGGAGATTAAAACATCGTTACAGGCCTTGGGCGTTTCTGACATACTAATGTTTTGATTCTCTAATCTTGTAAGTGAAGACAAATTAATCGGGGGGTCCTTTTAAGAGAGATGCATTTTCTAGTTTCTGTTAGACATAGACATTCATGTTTTATGCTTTTGCTTTAGTTCTTGTTTAACCTTCGCACAGTTTGTAATGGCCTATGGCGATAAGCCGTAAACATTTTGCTGTTGTTTTGCTTCTGTTCGTGACTAAGCTACTTAAACAAATTTTCTTAAAACCATCTCTTTCTGAAGTGCTTGACCTCTCATGAAAACGATAAGTGATGAGCGGCTTGCCTGGAAAGTATAGAAAGGGTGTAGCTTTATCTCTAAAGTAAGAATGTGTTTGCATTTGGTTCCCAGCTCTGTATCGATGGTCGTGGTACTGCAATCAAAAGCACCTGTCTTGCATAATGGGGCGCCCTTACGCATGATTAGGAGGAAAGGAGCCCTGTACCTTCGGGCATGTCCTGCCCAACCATATTGGTCTGAGAAAGGCAGAAAGTCAATGTCTCCCCCCCCCCCCCGTATAGGATTGCACCCTAATTTTCTGTTTGCATAAGAGACCATAATTGCTATAATTCCTTGCCAATGTAGCTATTCTAATTGCCAGCGTTCTTAACTGGCTTAAGCTTTTTGTTAGGAAGTGTGCGTGATAAGAATAAACATAAGGTAACATTCTTGAATTCATTTGTATGTTTGTTTGAGGGGTTTTTTTTTGTCATTTATATAGAATGTTTGTTTCTTTAGCTAAAATGACTCCTGGAGCAACTTACCTGAAATCAGTAATACAAGATGTTCCCCACCTGCAGGCTTATAGTCTATAAAGGTGCAACATGCAAGCGAAAAGGAATGGGGAGGAAGAGTCTGCAGGGCTGATGAAATGATCCTCTTCTTGCTCTCTCAGCACAACCTTGTACATTAAATAAATTTTGATAAAATGACTTGGTCTTCAAAATGGCCATGGATTTTTCCAGACAGGGTACTCCTAGCATTATTAATCAGACACATTGTGCAGCTGTGCAGGAGAAGACAATGACATTGGACTCCAGTAAAATTCCAAGAATGAGGCAGGCTAATTTTCATGATAAAACCTTGTCTAGACGCTCCATATAGTAGTACTACTCAGGGTGCAATTCTTTGAAGTTGTCCTCCAAACTCAGAGGAGTATAGGCATCCTCTGCAGGACAGGTGAAGGAGAAGGTTGACTCCTGCAAAGCATCTAGATCACAGATTTTGGATGTCTAACTGCAGCACTTCAGAGGGAGAAAGAAGGAGGTTGACATGCCGCCAAGATACCTCAGATCTTGACCACACCATTCTCCGCCCTCCCCACCCCATAAATTCCTCCAAGCTTGCTTTTGTTCACAGTTCAGACTCAGCAAAATTGAACTAACATTCCTGATGATAGTCTCTGTTCTGCTGTCCGAAGTATTTCATAATCATAGGAGCATATGAAAAGAAGGTTTGTATTTTAGCTTTTACTTCATAAGTACATCCCTATGTAGCTGTGTTTTGGAAAGCAGTATGTTTCTGTAAATAAAATGCAAGTTATAATTATCAGTTTAGCTCACTGTGTTTTTCCTGTGTAAGTCTCTCTGTGCAATCCCAAAGCACATTTGTTGTTAGTCGCGAAGTCATGTCCGACCCATCGCAACCCCATGGACAACATTCCTCCAGGCCTTCCTGTCCTCCACCATCCCCTGGAGTCCACCTAAGCTCACACCAACTGCTTCAGTGACTCCATCTAGCCACCTCATCCTCTGCCGTCCCCTTCTTCTTTTGCCATCTATTGTTCCCAGCATTAGGCTCTTCTCCAGGGAGACCTTCCTTCTCATTAGGTGGCCAAAGTATTTGAGTTTCATCTTCAGTATCTGGCCTTCTAAGGAGCAGTCAGGGTTGATCTCCTCTAGGACTGACTACTTTGATCGCCCTGCGGTCCAAGGTACTTGCAGGAGTCTCCTCCAGCACCACAATTCAAAGGCCTCAATCCTTTTGCGCTCAGCCTTCCTTATGGTCCAGCTTTCACAGCCATACATTGCAACTGGGAAAACCATAGCCTTGACTATACGCACTTTTGTTGGCAGGGTGATGTCTTTGCTTTTTAGTATGCTGTCTAGATTTGCCATAGCTTTCCTCCCCAGGAGCAAGCAACTTTTAATTTCTTGGATGCAGTCCCCATCTGCAGTGATCTGGGAACCTAGGAAAATAAAATCTGTCACTACCTCCATTTCTTCCCCATCTATTTGCCAGGAAGTGATAGGACTGGATGCCATGATTCTCCACTGGAGAAGGAAATGGCAACCCACTCCAGTATCTTTGCCATGAAAACCCCATGGACAGTACCAAAAAAGCACATTTACTCAGAAGTAAAACCTATTGAGAATAGCAGGATTTATTATTATGTGCAAAGGAGTCTACCTTAGATGTTGAATGACCATTTTACCTTACAGGTAAGATTGAAGATTTAAGAAGTGTTAAAAGGGGGTTCAACATTCAGTTAGCGAGTACCTTTAACTAAATTTTTGGTAGCTGTTGAATTGTATTGATTGGAATACAAATAAAGTATGCTTCAAACGTGCCATCCAAACAAGTATAAGGAATGGCACATGGAATCCACATGTAAACTATAACATGATAGTTACCCAGACATGGGATTTGCTATGTCACTATATGCTGTGCAAGAAAAAAGAGACTCCTTGTACATAATGGATTATGATCATTTACTTGTCTATTTTATTTTTCAGATTTATATGCCATTCAATAGCCTGACAGGACTCTTTAAGCAGTTAACAATATACAATAACCAGCACAAGTACAGAAGGAAGAGGGGACAAAATCTGTTGGAGCAGAGTCAGCACAATGAGTTTCTAAATTCAGGTTTCATAAATGATGTGGGAGTAAAAGTCAGTCTCACTTTTAGCAAACAGCTATGCTTTTATTAAATAGCTCAATGACACTGCTGAGCTGGGCAGGTGGAGATTACTCGGAAATAGTTGGAGCTTTGTTTGACAGTGGTAGGAGCTAAGCTAAGCTCTCCCCTAGCTGAATGGATGAGATGAAAAGGCCATATGGCTACTTTGGTTCATACTGCTAGTCTCCTTTCTGCAATGCTTTGTACAAAACATAATTCCAATATGTGACTTCCAGCCTACAATAGCGACTCATTTCTGAAAAACATTGTATTGCATTGTCTCTGCAAAAGCCTGTTGGAAAGATGCCACACACAGATTCCTTTCATAGGGGGTGGTCCTCTCTGTGTAACAGAACAGTTCCCTCTTTGAAGGTGTCTTCCATATGAAGGACTGCCATGTACAAGGATATTTTAACAATAAAGAACCTTAAGCAAGGAGAGCAGGAATCTGGAAGTAGCCATCAACAGTTAGCACCAGGGCAACAGCTTGAGCAGGAAAAAAGGTCACCTGGGCATAGTCTTCCCCACTGTGGCAGGATGGATTATATTCTATTTAAAGTTGGGTGTCTGCATCCAAATGTACAACCATGCAAATATGTTAGCATAGGCCCATTCTATGCACACATTGCCCTCTTGTCTGGTGATGGCCATCCTTAGCCTACTTTGCACAGATCAGGCCCAGCATCCTCTGGAAGCTGCCAGGGGCCCACAGGTACTGACTGGGATGCAGGCTGGGCTGATGTTGTCCTGCCATTTTATCTCTAGCTCAGGTTTTCTTCCTTGAAGTGGACAGCTCAAGATTCCTTACCTTTTACATTTGCCCAGAGCAAAGCTTCTATAAAACATTGTAGGGAAGGTCCGCCACTTACTAAACATCTGTTAGTATGTTTCATGCATTGTAAGCCGCCTAGGAAGGCCTTGGCAATTATAGGCGGCCTATAAATACATGTCATTAAATAAAAACATCTGCAGCAAATTGTGAATTGGTGGCACTGCCACTGCCCACTTAAGTTGGGGGGGGGGGGTGCACCACATGGCACTTTGCTAGAAGTCCCTCAAACTTGAAGCTGGCTCTGAGGTAGAGTTGTGGATAGGCAGAAGGTGAATTTATCTAACTCAGCTTAAGTCTCATGGCTTTCTTCTTTGTCCTTCAAGCAGAACATTCACTTATCATTCCGGCTGTGTAAGCTCACTATAATGTTTACTGACCTTCCCTATTAGCAGATTTGCAGAGGTTATACAAGAGGTTTAATGAAATATGAACCGCCTCTGGTAACTGAAGCTGGAACCTGACGGGGAGTGACTGACAAGGTCATGAACAAATCATTACGGAGTCTTACCTGGATAAATTGAAATTAAATCCAGAGGTGTCACTGTTCACCAAAACAAGAACCTGAGCTGCATTTGATGGTAAACAGTGCCAGTAAAGGAATAATACATAAAATATTCATTTAGTTTGCTCTACTTTGATGAAATACAGTGTGCTGTGATTTATTATAGTATCATGGAGGTAAGGAGGTTGTCTCTTCATACCCAGTATCAATTCTTGTCGATTGCTGCTACAGGTGAATTGTGTGGTTCTATCATCTGGATCCTTCTGCTCAGATGTCTTGCTGAGCACGGCACACTGCCATTTATGCAGGCTAATATATCAGGGATGATTGGCAGGGATGAAGAAAGGCACAGGACTATTCCCTCTCCCTGTCAACATCGTGCACTTCAATTTGCCTCTTGTGTTTTTTTGGCCTAGATTTGTCTAAAATGAGTGCATATTTAAACTTTCTGGGGTTTGATTTGTCTTTTTAAATCAACTGCAAATTCAAGCATTTACTCTGTTCAAGGAAACAACTGTTTCTTAGAAGTCAAAAGTTTGGCTGATAAATTCCTATTAATATATAAAGCTCAGCCCACTCTGATTTCCATCTATCTCTTTGGCCAGAAACCTCCCACTCTCCAAGTACATTCCCACTGCAAAAGGAGAATCTTCTGGTTCTTTCACTCCATCTGATTCTCTTTCAGCTCACTTCGCTATCAGTTTACTTCATTCATCCCTTCCCTATACATTCCAAGCCCTGTAAAGAGAAAAGCTCCTTGTGGGAGGCAAGTTGTTGTTGTTGTTGTTGTTATTATTATTGTAACATTTCTATGCCGCCCCTTGCCGAAAGTTGAGTGGAAAGGGTATGCCCTATCCACCTGCCCCCCCCCCCCACACACACACCACCAATCTAACTGCATGCCCAATCGTTGCACCCTCTTCTGTTTGCTTTTCAAAGGTAAAAAGCACTAACTGGCTACTGTCACATGCCTTTGTATATAATTCTTCCTCTAAATGTCAAAGAAATCTATTGTATCGTGTTACATTTTGGTTGGAAAGTTAACGTAGGAAACATATTACATAGTGTTATTGAAGGAAACAGGAACTTGATGGTGAGAGTGGAAGGCACAGCACCACAGCAACTATCAAAGTTGTAGCAGTCTGATAATCTTCAGCTAATAGCTCCAGCCTATGGGTTCCAGAAGTGGTATGCTATCATTTGGGGGGGGGGGGGTTAAGTGCCCTGGTATCCCAAGTCTCAGCAGCGAGTGGGTTGTGAATGAGAAAATGCAGGGGTGTTTTCATGCATGTGCTTTGAAACATTCCTGAGGTTGACTGACAGCTATGCCATGCTCCAAATTTTTCCCACAAGACTTGCTCAGCCATAAGGCTCTTCACCTGTGCTTCCTCATGCATCTAAGAGAGGGAATGAGGTATACGCACAAGAGAACTCCAAGCAATACTTCTCCAGTCTCTGCCTTATTGACTGAGCACCCTATAGAATTTCATTCTGTCTCCTTCAAAAGTTGGGGTGGCAGGGATTCTGGATGGAGAGTTTGTAAACAAGCATTGCCCTCCAGGAAAGCGTCTGTTATTATTCTGTGTTGTGCTCCCCAGATGAGTAATCAATGTGAGTAATTTTAAAAATAAATGCTGTCACTCAAATCCATGGCAGTGCTCCTGTTTACACTTAATGCAATGTTGATTTTCATAGAAAGAGCTCATTTTTCCCACCTTGAGTGTTGTAATGTGTCACCATGTCAGTTTGATCTATCATTTTGAGTGGTAACCTATAGCAGCCCATTGTGTTCCAATGAGCATTAGCTATTGACATTCCATTATGAGAAGCAGCATTTTCTTAAATTCTGCTGCAGCCAGGTAAAAGAGGCTGCAAGACACCGGAGGGAGGGAGGGTTGTTTTTTTCAACGGGAAGTTTAGCAAACCAAATAGAATGACCTTCTTTCCCACATGCATCTTTTTATACATTTTACAGATGCCTCTTGTTCTTAGCCCCAAGCAACTGTGGCAAAAGTTCAAGTTTTGTATTACAGAACAGTCCAACTTCAGAAGGCTGTTGAATTAAACCGATACATTCTGAACTTGAGAAAAAAGAGGAAGAACCTCTTAAAGCTACTGCAAATGACAGCATTTAAAAATGTGTTTTAATGTATATCAACACTTTAGAGAAACTTTTAATTTACAATAGTCAGGGCTGCACTTGAGAGTAAACACAGAAATCAGCTGGCATTCTGTGGCAGAATTGCAGGGATTCCACAGCAGAGAGGCTTATGTGGAAAAGGTCCTGTGGCATTAAAAAATGGGAACAATGCTAA